GAGGGGGGGGGGCATGTATGTGTATATACTGTAGAAAGAAATACAATTGTATGGGAGTTTAAACGTAGGACCGTTGCACAATATATCAAAGTTGTGTGAATTTGAAAACAAGCAACTATCGTTAAATGTCAAATCCATTTCCCATTGTGTATGTATCCTGAGTTTTAAAAAAGACGTTCATGTGTGAGCATGATATTCTTACACAATACACGCAAGCATACACACATAGGGAGATATTAGCCATGTGACATTACTAGTCACTAGTAGTTAGCACATGATAAGGTAGCTCCTGCGAATTCCTCAAAACTTGTATTGATCAATGTATATATGCTGATTTTATTGATTACATAAAATGTATATTTGTGTACTGTAAAGTACTTTAGAGTCGCTTATTCTAGCTAGATAGGGCGCTATATCAAATGTTGTATATTATATATACTTTTATGTAAATGGTATATTTTTAACGTATGAGTAAGACGTATGTTATATAACGCCTATAAGAAGTTAGTTGTTATCATCAAGTGTACTCCGTTTTAAATAAAGATGTCTTATCATAGGCTACCCACTGGTGAGTGCGCATATGCAGGTTATCTATCTATAATGTCTAACCCCTCACATATGCCAATATCATTTCTAATAGACTGTGATATAGCTTTATATGCGATACACGTTCGTTAGTACATTCTGTTAAAAAAAAGCCGAAAGAGGATACTGTATTGTTTGTTTATGGTAGTGAGTCGGCACAGTACGTCCATGTTAGGGAAAGCTGCATAAATGCACGCACTGTACCTGCGGTACGGATAATGATGACGGAGAATGATGGAAGGGAGATAACTCCAACTTATGTTTAGCTTACAAAAAATCAATATTATTTATCGATCCAGCCACTGCACGCGAACTGTGTGTAGACGGCAAGAGTTGTTTTTCTTCTGCGTGGGAAATACCGAGCGCCCTCTGTCGGCCGAATTACCTATCTACGATTATTATAATTTATGTGTCCGACTGGTATGTGCGTCAGTCATGTTGGGGATACAGTGAGACAAAAAACGTCATGTAATCTTCTGTTAACAGCCGCCATAGCAGATCCGGGAGAGAAGACAAGTACTGAAGACTTGATACCCCCGTATTTCATCATAACATGGGTTATAAACGGCCATAGGGAGACGGACTAGATACAGAAACGGTGAGCGATCTATCAGTTACTGTTTACATCCAGTGTAAAGCAGAAGGCAAATAGATTTCTGATACACACACACGCGCGCGCTAACAAAACAGCATCAATGTTGCTCCGAACACAGATAGTAGGTGTTGAGTTCTACGATGCCGTGTTAAACAACGAACTTCAATTATTGAAACGTTTAGTCACTCAGCATAAGATAGATCTCAATGCTAAATTCATAGAGGTGAGAAAGAAAAACCATGCTGATTTATGTCCTATACATCTCGCATCGTATCGAGGCTACACATACATGCTACAGTACCTCATTGAATCGAAATGTGACGTCAACCAAACCACAACTACCCTAAGAAGGACAGCTCTTCATTTTGCGGTCTTGCGACACAAGATGGCGTGCATGCTATTATTAATTGCAGCAGGGGCTCAATTGGACGCTAAGGACACATTTAGCAATTCGCCTTGCCACTATGCGGCAGACGACGGGTACTGTCAAATGCTGGACGTGTTGATACGACGTGGTGTCAATGTTGATACTCTGGACATAACGTCTAAGACGCCACTGATGAAAGCTGTGAGAAATAATAAAACGGATGCAGTGTTGAGACTACTGAGAGCCCAATGTAATATTAATATTACTGATAGAAACAGTGATATGGCTCTGCACTATGCTGCCAGAAATGGCTGTGCTGACGTCATTGACATCCTTATTTCCGCCGGAAGTCAAATAGATGTCCAAAATTATTGGGGACGGACACCACTCATGGAAACTGTCTGTTATAATCACAAAGACGCTGTTGCTCGTCTTCTTAAAGCCAGTTGTGATCTAAATAGACGAGAATTCAAAACTGGGGACACCGCCCTGCATATTGCTATTAAGCGGAACTACACAGAAGTTGTTGGTCTTCTTCTTGCCGCCGGAAGTAGACATGATATATACAACCACCAGGGGGAGACAGCTGCTTATGACGCTGTTGTTAGCAACAAGGTCGAAATTATCCGCCTCATGGTCATCCATAACTGTGACCCGGAACAACCAGGGAAGTACTTTTCCGATGGAGTGTATAAGTCTCTTTTCCAAATTGCAGCAGAAAAGGGTCATTTCGACATCTGCCGACTGCTAGCCTCGTTTGGATATGTTGACTTTAGAGCGCGTGGATATATATACATGAATTACATCCCTCCACGTCTTGTTACGGAGCAGGAAGATGTTGTTCAGTGGTTACGGCGGAAAATGCAGACTCCTACCTCTTTGCAACTACTCTGCAGGAAGTGCATCCGTAAGCGACTTGGATACAAAATTGGCAATACGGTTGAATGTTTACC